AGTTCGCACCGAGGTGCCAGAAACTTGGGGAATGTTTTCTCCTTATAAAGTTTTCTTCCCCCGTGCCTTATCTCCATACCCGGCCATTTCTGGCAAAGGGATAGGGCTGCTCGGGATTGCAGCCGCCAGTCAGTCCCCCTTCCCGTAATGCATCCCTAAAAGACAGAGTGGCCAGAGGGAAAAATGTGCTGGAAACTTTGCTGTTTGAGGGGAAAATGTGCTGGAAGCCTTTCTGTTTGCTCCGGGGCACGGCGCCACAGGGAGTTGCGCACAGAGCAGGGGCCAGTGCTTTCCCTGGCAGCCCTTGCCCCATGTCCCCCTCCTGCCTGGGGGTCTCTGACCCCACAGGATTATCCGTGGTGTCGCCTGGGGCTGCCTGGCCTGGACTGTCCTTCCCAGTGCACCCCAAGGGTGACCAAACACGCTTGGCACCCCCTAGCAGAGGGGCAGAGACCCCCACACCTTCGTGGAGGCTTGGGGTTTGGGAGTGCCCTTGGTACCTCAGCAGTGGTTTGGCTTGTGATGAGTAAGGTCTTGAGAAGTTTCACCTCTGGAGCAGACTTTGTTTAGTTACTGGGTTTTCTTCATGTGATTTAAGCTGACCAGGGCCAGGCCCAAGGATGTTCCTGGCAGAGCCCCATGCCACCCTTCTTTGTCTGGCCCTTGGCTGGGTGCAGGATGCTGTACCCCTTGTCCCAGAGGCAGCTTTAGACTGGAAACCCTCCTCAGCCCAACTGGGCCACTTCCACTCCCCCAGACACCTCACCTTGTTCCCCTCCTAGAGCCCAGGAGGTTTGGTGGCTTATGGGTCTCTCCAGAGCTTCTGTGGGTAGCAAGGACCTTCTTGAGGGTGGCAGTGTCCTGAAAGTGGTTGGGGTCTATCACTTGGTGTATTCAGAGTTGCCCAACAGGGTCCACACATGGGCTGTGCCCTGATAAAGCCTGGCTGTCCCGGGCTCTCCCCATGTCCCAGTGTGTTCTGTGCCTGCCATGCAGCTGGATCTGCTCTCCTGGTGCTGGGGGAGGTCCTGGCAAGGGGTCCCTGACTGTGGGTGATGCTTTCTACTCAGACATGCCACACTACTGCGCCAGTAAGGTTTGCAGCAAGACGTGCAACCTCTTCCAGCTCCACAAAGGGCTTTTTGGTACAGAGAGTGTCACTGTAAGGTCTGAGCACACCAAGAGCATGTACCCAGGAAAAGCCCCATGAGCTGGGGACTCCTGGTGTGGCCCGGCCCCGCTGGGGGGACACACAGCTGATTTTGCTCATGACAACGAGCAGAGAGGCCCTGGGAAAGAAGCATCCCTGGTGAAGGGGCTGAGCCACAGTGGCTGGGGGAGTCCCCTCCTTCGTCACCATCTGTGAGGGAGGTGGGGAGGGTGGTTAAAGCCAGTGCAGCAAATCCTCGCTGAGGGAAAGCAGCTGGTTTTAAGGAAATCCATCCATGCACTGCTCCACCACATGTGGACACCTGCAGGTGGTGATGAGCCTTCACCAGGTGCATCTCTGGTGTTGGCACTGCCCTTCTCACCCCCCCTGCCACAGGATGAACCACACAGGTCCAACCTGCAACCCCTGGCATTACCACCATGGGATCCTGCCCTCCTGACTTGGACTCAGGAGCAACATCCCAAATCTGGGTTCTTTACCCGGGTGCACAAAAACCAGTTGATGCACAGAATTATTTGCTTTATTCCAGTTCTGCACAGAAAAGGAAGTACCAGGGGGTACTTCACAAAGCTGGCACCCCTGTCTGAAACACACAGGGTCTTCTATACAGAAAGATAAGGAAGGAAAGGAGTTTAAGGAGATGCATTGCTGTAGTCTAACAGAAATTCTCAATTAGTAGAAGAGAAGATACAGAAATTAATGGATCTGGCCTCAATTGTCAAGGAACAGGAAGGATTAGGTCTTTCCTAGATAACAACCTGGTTACCAAACCTAAGTTGGCTAAAGCGACTCTTCTTAATATCTGTATTTATACTGATCTTCCTGCTATTGAATTGTAGGATTCAATGTTTTCCTGTGTGTTCAAGTCTTTGCAAACAGGTACTGAAACGTAGGAAACCCCTGCAAATAATGTAGAGGATAACCCTTTTATATGGAAAATAGAAGAACAGGAATCCCAGAGCTCAGGAAAAATGTAAGGTGAGACTTACGGAAGACGTAAAGCATATCCATAAGTCTCAAAACGGGGAATTTGATGTCAAAAAGAGTTAGAAATCCACAAAATTGAGTGACCGTGATGTGATGGCCTGCTCTGAAACCACAGTGTTGTGGTTTGGGCCAAACTGGCCA